TCCAGCTAAGCATTAGACGTGTGTATGGTGTTGGAGACTCTGAAAACAGCAGTGGACTAATCGTTGGCATACTTATTGATGTAAAACCAAGGAAACATAAAAAAAATGTGGAATAATAAAGAGAATACAGCTAGAGATGTGTAGAATATTTTATTTAAGATTTTATTAATACATCTGAATGTCTTCATAAATTTGCTGATTTTATAAGAAATGTAAATTTAAAATATTAACTCATAAGTCAGCAATATTACATTACTATGGAAAAATTGAATGTTAATAAATACAAAACAGTACAGTGAAGATTTAAAGCATCAGTGGTACATTTCTTTCCCTGAGTGTATTTGCGACAATCTAGTAGCGAAGATATAATCCATATTTGTTTAAAAAAATGATCCTCAAACTTTTTGAAATTTCACTTGTTAAAAATTATTGAGTACTCAAAAAAGATTTTGATTTTTGAGTTATATTTGACCTGTTAGAAATAAAACAGACATGTAAACATGTTTGTTTAATAATTCATTTTGAAAAAAGAATAAATCCACTACATGTTAATATAAATAACATATTTTGATAAAAATAACACATTTTATGAAACAAAATAAAATATGCTAAGAACAGTGGCACTGTTTTGCATTTTTGCAAATCTCTTCAATATCTGGGTTTCACTGAAGATACCGAGAGTCTCAAATCGTCTTCTCCATTCATTCCATTGTAATGTGAAGAAAGTTGCAGTAGGAAGAAAATACATCTTCAAACAAATACATAGTTAGAAAAAGGGAGGAAATTTTAATAGCCTTTCAGAAAACTGTGCATATTCTACCTTGATACCGCACCAAACTTGACAAGCGAAAATTTCCTAAAAGCTAGTTGCCTTGTCAAATCTGAAGCCAAATTTATTGGATTTTTATACCCCGCTACATTAAAATCTAGTAGTTTATATTACACTTAAAATGGACCTTTTCCCCATATATAATTTTGTAACATCATGTCTTGGTTATTTGGAAAATATTGGTTCACGGAATGATGAAAATTTTTAAAATGTTTACATATTTCATTATAAAATATCAAAACTTCATATTTATTAATATTATTGCCAATATCATTGGAATGTTCTTTAGGTTATGGGAACGTAAAGTTCCTGTTGGTGGATAAAAGTTTTCCAAAATTCTAATACTCATTTGAAGGATTGAATTATGTCAGTAGCAGCAAATTCATTTTCCTTGAAGTAACAGGCATACTTCATTTTTAAGAAAATGTCTGCCAGATAACTAAGCCTGAGTAACCATGGCTTTTCCTGTCTATTGTACTTTCAAATAAAAACTTATTTTCCATGATAAATGTGACTAGTTATATCTGTAACTCAATAACATAAGGGCTTTTACTTGAGAATATATTGTGGGTATGCATGAAAAGAGCTTATACATACTTTCCATTTGTCACACAGAATTTTAAAAGAAGGGTATCCAAGGATTAAAATTCAGCAAATTAGTGATTATTTTTATGGCTTCATTACAGACATTCTTAAAAGAAATTGGGTTTTTTTGTTAGAGTGCGTGATGGTGACTACTAGCCTTGATTCATACCAGGGCACCAGCTGTATTATCTACTACTACTTTTGCATGATCAGTGCAAATGACAGCACAGTAAAAAAGGCAAATAAAGTCTAATTATTATTAATAAAATTATTTTGACCTTATAGACACACTAAAAATATCTTTTTTTAAAAAAAATTTTCCAATGCTTTTTTAAAATCTTTCTTTGTATGTATACAGATCCACAACAGTCCAATGTCTGTTGGACATCTCTTGCACTATATTCACATTAAAATAACATCTTAGAGAGCCCCTGAGGTCTACCAAACACATTTTGAGAACTTCCTATTTGAAATAGTTGATAGACAATAAAGATATAATTTTCAACTAATTTTAGCAGTCTTTAAGATTCAGTCACACATACACAATAGTCTAGTGTAACAAACATAGATGCAAGTTTCCTATGATAAATATTAACAAGTAAACCCATAAGTATAATCTAAAGAAAATATGCCCATCTGAGGTTTATCCCAAAGAATGCAAACTTAGTAAATTTATTCATGTGATTATTATACTAAACAAAGAAGAAAACATATTCTTACCACAACTGATTGAGAAAGAAACCATAACACTGTATAACCAAGTGTGTTCATCTATTTTAATAATTTGGAACAATGATCATACATAGCAAATTAAATACACATGCGCACACCCACATACACACTGATTAAAACAAGGTAGTATTGGTAAAAACCCAAACAATACAGAAAATTAAAGTGAATAGGTAGTCTGTGTCTTCACTGCTACATCACCAGCACATAGGACAGTGTCTGGTACATGCTAGGTGCTCAACAGATGCTTGTTGATTGAATGAATGTCTGGGTAGTCCAATGATATTTATAATAATATATAGTTTGTATCAGTGGGCAAGGATTGACTGTTTGGTGTATTTAGAATACTCCATGAATAATAATGTTACTTAGAAGGTTTATTTGAAAGTTTACTTAAGGAGAACTAAGGAAAAATACAAAGAAATTTTTTTTAAAAAATTGATTTAGGGGAAATCTTGCCTTGTAAAATACCAAAACATTCTATGAGGCTGTTTAATTTCATTCCCTGTGATATTGGGCCATTGATTTAAGAAATGAAAGTTGACATCTATATATCAGTATCTATTTATTTATCAACATTTATATCTATCAAGTGATCTAACAATCTAAATATGTAAAAGTTATATATAAAATTTATTTCTGGGATGGAAATAGTTAATGTCACAAGTGTTTATATATAAATCCAGTGCATTCCCGATGAGAAGGGGAGAAGCATCCCTGAGATGCAGGATCTGGCCTAATCATATCAGCTGGGCCTTGGAGTTGCTAAGAGCTGACTCGACTCTCACAGATGGGCTGCGGTGTTCTCCTGTTGAACAGGAACAATTTCATAGAAGGTCGATATCTTTAATCAAGGTGAATGAAGAAAAAAAGCAAGGCCACTCTTTAATTATGTTCAAATACAGGTAAAACTTGAAAGTTGTCCAAGTCACAGAAATGACCAAACACCTCCTATCCTGGCTAATAGGAGTGATTCCTGCTGCTTTACCAGTGTCAAGGTTAGCATCGGTATAGTCTTTCTTCTTCTAGATGAGAATTATTAAAATACCCAGTCATAGAGGGACCCCTAGTTTCTGACAGCATTTAATCTAGCAAAGTACAGATTCCTTAAACTCTCCCCTTAGACACCTAACGTGAGCCCAGACCCTGTAATTACACCTTCTTATTGAGAGGTACCACAGCTCCCTATGGTATGTCCTCCTTTGATGAAACTAGTAATAAATCCAACTTATTCAACTACAGATGTGTTCCAAGTGGTCTTTGGCGCAATCGCATTGACACATATATCTTCATAAATAACCCCCCCCATTTTAGACAAATGGAAGCTCTGTTTTATGCCCTCACCCACACACATGCAATGCAGGTGTGTGCATTTGTTTGTTCCTGTATTCACAAATGTAATGACTAGTAACAAATTTCTGAGCAAATATTCCACAAAATATAGAGGGATACATTTCAGAAAAAAATAAATTTCTAAGTTTTCAAAAGCAATAAAATATCAGAATAAACTATTGACAATATTTTATCATCTTGGTATAATGGAGGTCTTCATAAGGAGACATAAAATCCAACAGCCATAAAGGAAGAAGAAGGTTACAAATTACACAAAATGACAAGAATCATTAACAAGACAAACGATAGACTGCAAAGTTATACACATAGAAGAGTGAAAACATAACTGGATGTTATATGAAAGCTGTTCCTACTACTTAATGAGGAGAAAACCCACTATGTAAAATGGTCAAAAGAAATGATTTAATTCATAAATAAAATTGTACAAAATGCAAATTCACGCTCAAACTCACTAGTAATCAGAGAAATGATAATGAAAAAATGAGACACTATTTCCCCATTAGCTTGTTACAAATTAAACTGGTCACAATTAGCATTGATAAACATGGTTGGGAGAGCATTCTCATTCACTGTTCATGACAGAATGTATGTACACACACATACACTTGTATTATGACAGTGAACTTTGAATCATTACACACTGAAATATACAAAGTGATTGCCCCTGGGGAATCTGTGGAGTTTACCTGCAACTTCCACTTTTACTCTGTATTTTCTATATTATTTCTAGGACGGGAATATTTGCAAATACATATCTATTTATCTATTCACATAAACACATGAAAAAGTGGAAACAAAAGGAAAATTAAAAATGAAGAAGAATCCCACCTTCATATTAAAGGAAAAGATCTTTGAAACTAGATTTTTGAGTAAAGGGAAATGATTTGATTAAAAAATGTTAAGAATATAAAAAATTAAATAATTGTATAAATGCAATATATTTATATAAAAACAATAGTTGATTTGTTAACATTATTTAAATATCACCTAATTTGAATAACAGTTGACTCTCATTTACCTTGTAAAAATATATATGTATTGACACAATCCTTTTATGTTTATTTCCATTATAATAAAACATGGAACTGGATTAATATACTAAATGTATTTTTATTATATATATTGCCCAACTCTAACTTTATTCACAAACAGAAACTTCAGTAAACAAATTACTAAAAAGGCAATTGGGGAAAGTTTCTCTTGAAAAATCACACTTTTTCCCCAAGGATATATTTCCATGTTGGTAATTTATGAATTAACTGTGAAATGTTTTAGGTAATAAATATTACTATTTGCTATTTTACATGCTATTTATTTAGTTCTTATAGTTGTATATGCCTTTGGGTATTCTAGAAATAGTAAAATAGTAAAACTTCATTGAATATAACTATTATTGTATAATTGAAAAGTTGAACACAAGAGAGTATTAAATAGAAGTTAGGATTAATAAACAGCTTAATTATCAAGTGGTTAAACTAGAATAATATTTCTTATGAAATTTCAGGAATGTCAATTTAAGAAGTGCTGTGATTATAGCACATGTAAACTGAAAGGGTCAGTAAAATGTGGCTCTGGACCATGCTGTACATCAAAATGCGAGGTAAGTTTCCACCATTTATGAAAAGGAAATTGAACTGTGATAATAGAAGGCTATATTAATTAAATTAATGTGGAATTGGTAAAAGGAATATAGAAGTAATTCAGTGGAGCAAAATAGAGAGTGTGTAAAAACCCACCAGTACATAAGGAAAACTACTATGAAAAAAAGAAGGCATCTCAGATTGGTACTGATTATTCTATTGCGTTGAAACTACAGTTTACCATATTCTAAATTATCAGATAAAGAGTAGAACAAACATATGCATTACTATATCAAACAACTGTCAACTGCCAAGGAAATCAAAGTCAAAATGGCAAACGACTGAAAAAACTCTACAACAATGAAAGTAGAATTGTTCAATGTGTACACTGATTGTCTACAGTAATTAAGGTAAATATAAATAAAAATAATAATACAATATCATAGAGCAGTCATCCAAATGGCAATCTTAGAAAAGAACAATGTTAGATATTGGCTAAGGAGTGGCACTAGAGATCTTTTTTGGATAGTGTTTGTGGAATTTTGAATTGCTATAATCCCTTTGGTGAGCAGTATTTGCATATCTCTGAATAGAGTGTAAATTATCAAGTTAATTGATTATCATGAGTTTCTCTCTTATGTATATACCCTAGAAACTTGCACATGAATGGAAAGCTCAGGAAAGAATATTAGTTACAGAATTATTTGCAATAGCAAATCATAAAGGCAAATAATATTTATTGGTATTGGAATGGTTACATAAATTATTGTACAAGAGTTAATAAATGTAGGCTAAATATATATGCACTAATATGATATTATCTTCAAGACATATGTTTGGATAAGAAAGCAAGTTCCATAATGCAAATATTTTATAATTACAATTCTGGGAAATTACATACACGTAAATATTCTGTACATTCTTTTTTCCCAAATTTCCAATTAAGGTATAATTTATTATAGTAAAATTATTTTAGTGAATACTTCTGAGTATTATGACAATCATATTTAGTCTTATAACTAGCACTGCATCAAGGGATAGGCGATTTTATCACCACTTTCAAAAAATCCCCCTGTACCTCTTTGTCGTCAATCCATCCCTCTACCCACAGACCCTGGTAACTACAGATCTGTTTTGTGCATCTGTAAATTTGCTTTTGAGAAAACATAACATAAATCGAATCACATAATATGTGTGAACATTGTAATTAGGCATCTTAGCAAATACATTTGGGATTCATTCATGTATTATTTATCACTAGTTCATTCCTTTTTTGTTGCTGAATAGTATTGCAAGTATTGTAAGGATGTACCACAGTTTGTTAATACCTTCCCCATTTGAGGGAGATTTGGGATGTTTTGTTTTTGATGACAAAAATACAGCTGCCAAAAATAATATTCATAAGCAGATTTTGTATGAATGTAGAGTCTTATTTCTCTTAGATAGATTCCTACAAGTGAGATTGTTGTGTCATATAGTAAATGTATATGGAACCTTATAGGACACTGAAAATCAGCTTTTCAAAGTGGCTCTACTGTTTTGAATTGCCACCAGCCATTTACAGACTTACAGTTGCTCGGCAAACTATGTGTAAACTCTAAAACTACACAACACATGGTTTCATTTTATCTCTGCTTTTGGTTTATTATCTATACTTCAAAAATCATTTTACAGGTTGCCCCAGAGCTTACAATTTTTTGATTAATCAGTCTGATTTTACATAATATACCACTTCGTGTGCAGTGAATGGATCTTAGAATGCTCCCGTACGCTATAAACACAAAGTGCATTGTTACTATTTTTGCTTTATATGTCTTTTATCTTTTAGAGCAAGTAAAATAAGAAAAAAAAGGAATTTTATAATTAACATCATTTATTCCATTTCTGGCTCTCTTTATTTCTTTTTGTAGATTCTGCTTAGTATTGTATTCCTTGTGCCTAACGACTTCCTTTTATTATTTCTTGTAATTTAGATCTGCTAAAAATGAATTCTCTCAGTTGTTATTTGCCTAGGGAAGTCTTTATTACTCATTCATTTCTGAAATATATATTTACAAGGTATGGAATTCTAGATTGAAAGGATTTTTTTTTATTTCATCACTTTTAAGGTGCCACTTAATTCATTTATTACTCCTCTTGTCTCAATCTATTAAGTATTAATTCAATCAAACTGGATTGTCAAGTGTGTGTGTATGTGTGTGTGTTACTTCAATACATATAAAGGGCCAGCCTTTGGACGTGGTGAACTTCACCACAGAAGGCAATGGATGGCCAATTTAGTCAGCAGACCATAAAAATGTGACAATCACTGTACTCATTATCTGGGCTATGTAAGGAGGCCTTTCTGCTCTCTGATAACAATAAATATAATAATGACGATGATGATGACCATGATGATAGCTATTAAGTACATTGTTCACCATGTGTTGTTCTGGGCACATTTACAATAATTCAGTTTAATACTAAAAAGAACTCAATGAGAGAATGATCAGTATCCAAAGTTTACAAATGAAGAAACTGCAAAACAGAGAGATTATGTGTCTCACCCACACATAAGCTAGTAAAAGTCCAAGCAAGAGATTGAAACCAGGCAATTTGGCTCCTGGGTAGAACAGAAAGGTACAGGCAATGTTCCTTCGATTTTGAGGAACAGATGTATTTAATCTGTTTAATCGTCCTCCAAATGCTGATTGAGTCATGTGGCCTCCCAATGCAGAACAGAAAGCAGTTGCAAACCCTCTGTCAGAAGGGATCCTTTAATGTCTTTGAGACAGTTACTTTTCTTCAGGCTTCTTAATGAATACTGTTCCTAATTTTTCCTTCAGAGAGCTCAGAGCCATGGGAACTCTGTGATTCCCTCAAGTATCAATAATCAGGCGCATTTTATTTAGTAAATCTCTTCAGTAAGTAATTGAGGATAGTCATTCACAGAACCTGATTTTCTTTTGCTTTTTCCTCCTAGATATCAGTAGCCGGCACTCCATGTAGAAAGAGTATTGATCAAGAGTGTGATTTTACAGAGTATTGCAATGGAACTTCTAGTAATTGTGTTCCTGATACTTATGCATTGAATGGCCAGTTGTGCAGGTTTGGAACTGCATATTGTTATAATGGACAATGCCAGACTACTGATAACCAGTGTGCCCAGATATTTGGAAAAGGTATTCATCTCTCTTTTATATGTCTTTTTACTTAAATTTGGATCCCTCAAGTGGATATAATACATATTACACAACTCTAGAAGTGGAAGAACCTGAATCACAAGCTCAGTAAAGATTAAATTTGAACTAAGAAGCTTACTTTTGTAGGAGTGTTTGAGATTTTCCAGGAGAGCGTTCTACATTCCTTTTCTCATGGTTTGATTTTTGGTTTTGGTAGTTAGCTACCTGTGCAAAAATCCAAGTCTATGGCTCACAATTTATGTGTAGATTGGAATGGCAAGTCAGCAGATTCTGAAATTTTACTTAATTTTCTTTTACTTCACAGGTTTATGATCTAATTTTAATGACACGGAATTTAAAAGTTCAGAGTGAATTTCATTTAGGTATAATCATATTTCCTCACTGAGGGACTGCTGGGATAACAGTAGTCATAAGCCACTGATTAAAATGGATTTTTATGTTTTGCTTTTTAAACAGTTTTGGGGAGTAATTAAAATAGTACTCATGCATATATGCTTGCTTTTAGGCAGGAATTATTCATAATTCCTTGACATGACTTTGTATTTTTAGAAGAATTAAATTAAATTTGAAGAGATCAAAGTTACTCAGTGAAATGCATTCAAATATAATCCTTTGCTAATTGAGGAAAGGTAATATAAAAGAAATTTCAGCTATTTGTCCAGCAGTATATGAGTATAGTTTGTGCCAAATGACGTGGTATGTGGTTCATATTGTCTTCCTAATTATTTCAAACTTGTCGTTGATAACAATTTTCAGATTGGGTGACTTAACCAAAATTCGCCCAGAGCTGCAGAGCTATGATCTTCTAGATCATGGGTCAGGGCTGTGTTTTCAGGATGCTACTTCTTATTTGGTTGTTTCTTTGTTTTTCTTTTTCAATGCTCATTTGTATTTAAAAATATTATTTGTAACATTTGATCAAGGTTTAATACATCATTTAAAAATAAAATTAATTAATACTCTCTGTAAGATCTGTTAAGGAGAATCTAGGACATACATCTTTTTTTAATTAAGTAAATCTTTGTCCCAGAATTGAGATACTTGACATTTGACATCCTTTTGAGTTCTAATTAAAACAAAGATATTTAGGTAAGACTTAATCTCCTGTAATATATGCTCTAGTATCCCTACAGAACCAGATGGGTGAAAATTTGATCTTTTGATTCAGGTCATTCATTCATTCATTCATTCCTCTTTTATTTATTTATTTGGCTCTGGAGCAGGTGTTTTTTTTCTTGTTCTTATGTTACCCCAAAACTATAGGGCAAAAGGCTGTTTTTATGGTGGTTTACTACATGAGACATATGAATTAACAAATAGTTGCTTAAATTTTGCATTATTTCTCTAAGTATATTTAAACTTTTAAAGCAACTGTAGGAGTTTAATCAGATTAATCATATTTGTCCATTAAAAACTATATGCTGAGTGTGTATGTGCGCAGATCTGATACTATTCAACAAGATAGACACAGTCACATCGTTATTGTACTCAAGGAGCTTATGATCAAGACACAAAGACAGTAAATACATAAACACAAAAGAAATATAAAACCTGTAATTGTGATAAGTGCAGTTAGTGGAAAGAAAATAGAATGCTGAAAGAAAAATGAGGCGTAGCAGACAAGGAAAATACTTCCAGCTGTCATCAGATAGTCTCCACCTGTCAGCTCACTCCTTCAGAATTCGTCTCAACCACATGGGGATATCTCACCCAAGGGCACACCCTTCCCAGGGCAGCATATATCCAATGATTAATTGAAGTGGATTATAAACGCCAGCCCATTTTGGCCTAATCAGGCACAGTTTATACTGTGGCAGGATATTTCTGCTCCACGGCCACTCATGGGGTTGGTCAAGTCTTTGTTGAGTTTCTGTCTCAGTTTAACTTCTCTGCTCCCTCCTGCTTCTTCGTTCTCACTTCTGGATATTCTGATCACTAATAAATAGCTTGCATGTCATACTTCATCTAGATGCTGGCTTCTAGAGGCTCCAACTGCTAAGAGTTGGTACTGAGAATGGTGTGAAAAAACAACCTATAAGCTAAATTTTCAGAACTAAATCACTTGCTGCCAGTCTGTCAATAAGCACCCCATCACTGGTAAAATTGATAATACACTCACTGAGTGAACTGGGATGGTTTGCTAGTGAAAGAAAATGCATTAACTGATACAATTGAAATGTACAGAGGAAGTAGAAACTATAAGGATGTGGGATTGGATGGCTATTACTAAGGAGCATTGAAATCGAGGAAAAGATAACAAAGAGGTGTGCATTTGAAATCAAAGTATGAGCTGGAATGACCCCACTCCACTTTAACTTATAAAGAGGCTTTCATATCTTGAAATAGGAAATTAGAGAAAGATGAGGCCTTAATTATCAAGTTGAAGGAACACCAGAGAAGGTTACATTCTCAATCAAGTCTGTTTTGCCAGGGTTAAGGTTCTGGCTGGGAAAAGAGCAGGGCTTGTACTCAGGATAGGAACAGTTGAAAATATGTACCCCCACCCCCAAATTTTGAGTCTCTAGGCTTTTCTGAAACTTCTGAATCTATAGAATGGTACAGACCTGTCCTGTCACACCACCAACTGCTCCCAGTTAGGAATGGCATAAGTATGTTACCCTTGCTTGAAGATAATGCAGAAGCCTGTAACTCATAATATAAATTGTGTCCCCATTAGGATCTTCCCACTACCCCTCCTGGGCACTAGCTGAAAATACAGTTAAAGCACAGAAAGGAGATGCTGTAACTTTTAAGGGAATAAAAGAAGTTTACCCAAATGGCGCTGTATGTCCTAGCTAGCATTTACTACCAGAATCAAGGGAGCAAACATGGAACTGGATTGTGAGCATGCTTGATCATAACTGGATAGAATATAAGATTAGCAGGAAAGAGCTTATTGTTTTGGGGGCACTCTCCAAAGATATAGGATTTAACATCATGGCAAGGATCCTACAAGATAGTAAAAATTTCCACTGGGATTGTTTCCAGAAGCATGGGAAAAAACATGATGGCCTACTCTAAGGGAGGTTTAAATGACAGAATTGCCATAACAGATATTGGAGGAAAGGAAGAAAAGACTCAGGGAAGTAGATATACTGTAATGCACATACTATGTATGTAAGGCCAAATAATTCCCAACTGGAAGGTCCAAGGCCATAGGGAATGTGCTGATGAGAGGGGTAGCAGAATCAGTATGTTCTGATGAGAGGGGTACCACAAGGAGGGGTAGCAATTTTTTTTTTTAGGAAGATTAGCCCTGAGCTAACTGCCACCAATCCTCCTCCTTTTGCTGAGGAAGACTGGCCCTGAGCTAACATCCACGCCCATCTTCCTCTACGTTTTTATATGTGGGACGCCTGCCACATCATGGCCTGTCAAGCAGTGTCATGTCCACACCCAGGATCCAAACTGGCAAACCCTGGGCTGCTGAAGCAGAATGTGCACACTTAACTGCTGTGCCACTGGGCCAGCCCCCAGCAAATCGTTTTTAACAGTAATATAATTTACTACAATAGATATAATCTTTTTCTGTTTTCTGTTAAACAATAGTCTCTTTCTACTTGTATTGACAAGGTACACACAGAAAAAAAACATGATCAAGATCATGACATTTTTGTTTATGCAATAAGAGTGTCATTAGCTTTTATGGATAAAAATTTTAATTTTTACTAAGAATAATAATTTAACAGATGTATTTGCATTTTAAGGTGCTCAAGGTGCTCCATTTGCCTGTTTTGAAGAAGTTAATTCTCTGCGTGATAGATTTGGAAACAGTGGTTTTAAAAATTCACAACCATTACCTTGTGAACAGAAGTATGTATACAGAAATGATTGTTTCATTGAGTCATAAAAACTATATATTTCCAGTCAAGAGATGCTAAATAATAATGGACAGTAAATTGTATGTTAGAATATTTTCAAATAGCAGTGTATGTATTTTCCCTCTATGCAGTTCAGCTTCTGCGTCTTCATTTCTCCCCTTATGTTCTAATAATGAGACTAAACTGAAAGAAAACTGATGTTTATTTCCAGAAGTAGGAATGGGCATAAACTTCCCCCAATTAGAAACTTATGCTTTATATTGAGAATTAAAATTGAGGTGTTTTTTTTCTTTTTTTCTTTCTTTTTTTTTTTTTTTGCTGAGGAAGATTCACTATGAGCTAATATTCATTGCCAATCTTCCTCTATTTTTATGTGGGTCACTGCCACAGCATGGCCACTGATGAGTGGTGTGGCTCTGCACCCGGGAACTGAACGCAGGCCACCGAAGTGTCATGTGCTGAACTTAACCACTATGCCATGGGGCTGGCCTCTAATATTGAGTTTTTTATTAAGTTGATAAATGATAATAATCCTAAAGAAAGTGCTTTGATTTTTAAGATGTAGGATTGTCAAGAGGAGCAAAGTTTTCCTTTTCATTTTTGTTGTTTGTTTCCAAAACAATGATATGCAAAGCATGGCAGTACCTATCAATAGCTAAATTTGGAGTACTAGAATATTGTTTTACTATAAGCCATAAATAAAAAGATTCATAAAACTGAATAAAGGAAGTGCTTATCCTGTAACAAATGCTTCTTGAATTTCAAAGGGAATATTGAAATTAAAAGAATCACAAAAATCGTAACAGGTAGGAGGTTGACCAAGATGACAACATAGGAGGCTCCTGAATTCTCATCCTCCCACAGACATACTGAATGTTTAGGTACACATGGGGCAATTATCTCTGAACAAAATCCAGAAAATAGCTGAGCAACTCCTGCACATTAGGTAAATGAGAAAATAACCATACTGAAACAGGTAGATACACACTCTATACCATAAACTCCACCCCCTGGCACAGCACCATACAATTAGGAGGAAACTCCCAGCTTCTCCCTGAGGAGAAAAGAGTTTAGACTCCACATTTAGTGCCCCAATGTTTAAGACATCCACTTGAGGGACAGGATCACTAAACACCTAGTTCTGAAACCCAGTGAGGCTTGCATCCACGAGACCCACAAGACTATAGCAAACAAAGGAATGAGTGTTAATGGGAGTGTAAGCACATGCTGTGGATATCCCCCAGGACTCACTGTAGAAGGAGGAGGCAAAACACCTACCTTTCAGTCTTTCCATGAAAGGGGTCCATCTGCATACTTAGAAAACTGCCACCTGAGGGTCAGGCTTCTAATTTAGCACACATCTGGAGACTGACTGTAACTCTCCCCAGGGACTCAGGAAAGTGGCGGACACCTTCCCCCTCATTTCCTTGTAGTCTACTTTAACTCATCAGTATCTCCCTGCAAGGAACTTGCACACATGTCTGTGCTCCAGCTTTTGCACTGAGGCCCAAGGAACAGGTCCTCAGACCACCTGGCTCTGATAGTCACAGGGACTTCCATTCACATGTCCCACAGGTCTGCAGCAAACACAGAAGGAGCTCTTAAATGGCTATCCCCCTAAAGCTCAGCATATAGGGAACAGACTAAAATACCTATCTCCCAGGCTTTCCCTGAAAGGGATCCATATGCATACTTTAAAAGTTCTTGACGAGGGTCAGCCTTCTAATTTAGAATGCATCTAGGGGCTGGCTTTAATGCTTCCAAGTGACCTGGGAAGCCATCAGCTTTTTCCCCTCACTGTCTCTCCATAGCCTGCTTCAAGCCATCAGTATCTCCTGAAAGGAGCTTATACATGTTTGTACCATAGCTTTTTCAGCTGCTACCCAAGGAACAAGTTCCCAAGCCACCTGGATCTAATAGCTAATGGGACTTCCATTCATTAGTCCTACCAGACTGTAGCAAAAAAGAATTTCTTAACAGACACAGAAGTATCCTTCCATCCCCACCCTGCAGCTATATACCCAGGCCCAGCTCAGAGGAAGCAGGCAAAAATGCCCATCTCCCAGCTGCTGCCTGAGGATTCTGGTTCCAATCAGACAACTTCTAGGGGCTGAATGCAATCCCCCCCTTTGGAACACTGATGGATCTTGGCACACACTCAACTACTGGGAGCAACCAAGAACAAATAAGGCATCTGGGACAATCACAAAGTTTCAGAGGAAACTGGAACTCAGGCCAGGCTGATTGATAAGGTTTGCCTGCTAAATGAGCCCACTCTGTCAAGACTGGGAGAGGTGGCTCTTTTATCTAATGCACAAAAACCAAGACAGAAATCAAGGAAAATTAAGAAATAGAGGAATATGTCCCAAACGAAATAAGCTATCTCCAGAAACAGATCTTAATGAAGTGGAGATAAGTGATTTACTTGATAGAGAGATAAAAATAACTGTCATAAAGATGTTTACTGAGGTTAGGCAAGCAATGCACAAACAAATTGAGAATTTCAACTGAGCGATAGAAAATATAGAAAGTTCCAAACAGAAATTACAAAGTATACAAGAATACAATAACTGAACTGAAAAATTCAACAGAGCTGTTCAATAGCAAACTAGCTCAACAGGAAGAAAGGATAATGAATTAGGAGACGGGGCAGTAAAATTCATCCAATCAGAAAGCAAGATACAAAAGATGAAGAGTGAAGTCAGTTTAAAGGACTTATGGAACACCATCAAACATAGCAGTATATGCATTATAGGTGTACTAGAATGAGAAGAGAGAGAGAAAAGGTCAGAAAAGTTATTCAAAGAAATAATGCCTGAAAACTTCCCTAACCTAGAGAAAGAAACCGACATCCATATCCAGGAAGCCCAGGGAGAAGCAAATAAGATGAATCCAAAGTCATCCAAACCAAATCACATTAAAATTAAATTGTCAACGGTTAAAGACAAGGAGAGAATCCGAAAAGCAACAAGAGAAAAGCAACGTGTTATGTACAAGAGAACCCCCATAAAAGTATCAGTAGGTTTTTCAGCAGAAACTTTGCAGGCCAGAGGGGAGTGGGATGATATATTCAAAGTGCTGAAAGAGAAAAACTGCCAACCAAGAATACTATACCTAGCAAACTTATCCTTCAAAATTTAAGGACAGATAAAGAGTTTTCCAGACTAGCAAAAGCTGAAGAATTCATCACCATTAGACTTGCCTTATGAAAAATGTTAAAGGGAGTTCTCCAAGCTGAAATGAATGGATGCTAATTAGAAACAGGAAAACATACGAAAGTATAAAACCCACTGCAAATAGTAAAAATATAGTTAAATTCAGAATACTCTAATGTTGTGAGGGTGGTGGGAAAATCATTTATAACTCCAGTATGAAGATTAAAAGACAAAAGTATTAAAAATGACTATTAACTACAATAATGTGTTAGTTGATACACAATGTAAAGAATTGTAACTTGTGGCATCAAAAACATAAATGTGTGAGGGGAGTGCAAAAATGTAGAGCTTTGTGTTCAAAGTTACATTGTTAACTTAATTTGGATTGTGTAAATATAAGATGTTTTATGTAAGCCTCATTGTAAATGCGAAGCAAAAACTTAACATAGATACAAAAAAGATAAAGAGAATGGAATCAAAGCATGACACTACAGAAAATCATCAAATTTCAAAAGATGATAGCAACAGAGGAAAAGGAACAAAGGAATGACTACCAGCCAAGAAACAATTAACACAATTGCAATATTAAGTCTATACTTATCAAAAATTACTTTAAATGTAAGTGTTCTATATTCTCAAGTCAACAGATATAGAGTGGCTGGATGGATAATAAAACGAGACTCAACTATATGCTGCCTAAAAGAGGCTCATTTCAGCTTTACAACACATGTAAAGTGAGGGAAGGAAAAAGACAGTGCAAATATGTAAATGGGAATCAAAAGAAAGCACAGGCAGCTATACTTATATGAGACAAAACAGATTTTAAACCATAGGCTGTAAAGAGAGACAAAGAAGATCATTATATAATGATAATAAGGTCAAATTAAGGAATATAACATGAGTAAATATTTATGTACCAACTTAAGAGCACTAAAGTATATAAAGAAAACATATAAACAGATATGAAAGGAGAAACATACAGCAATAAATAATGATAAGTGACTTTAATTCCCTACTTTCAACAATGGATAGATCATCCAGACAGAAAATCAATAAGAAGACATTGGCCTTAAACTATGAGTTAAGACCAGATGGACTTAACAGACATTTATGAAACATCCCATCCAATAACAACAGAACACATTCTTCTCAAGAGCACATGGAACATTCTCCAGGAGATCATATCATAGGCCACAAAACAAGTCTTAATAAATTTAAGAAGACCAAAGTCATATCAAGCATCTTTTCAAACCATTATGATATGAAACTAGAAATCAACTACAATAAAATTGGAAAATTTACAAATATTTGGAGATTAATCAATATGCTACCAAACAATCAATGGGTCTTAGAAGAAATAAGAAGAGAAATCAAAAAATATCTTGAAACAAATGAAAATGGATACTATACCAAAATGGATACATACCAAAACTTTTGATTTAGCAAAAATGGTTCTAAGAGGAGAGTTCATAGTGATAAATTCCTATATTAAAAAGAAGAAATATTTCAAATAAACAACCTAATTTACACCTCAAGGACTAGGAAAGAAAGAATAAACTGAGCATAACATTAGTATAAGGAAGGAAATAACATAGAGTGGAAATAAATGAAATTGAGACTAAAAAGACAAAAGAAAAGATCAATGAAACTGAGTTGGTGTTTTGAAAAGAAAAAATTGACAAACTTTTAGCTAAACTTACCGAGAAAAACGAGATGGACTCAAATAGCTATAGTCAGAAATGAAAGAGGAGACATTATAACTTATATCAGAGAGATACAAAGGATCGTAAGAAGTAACTATGAAAATTTATATACCAACAAATTGGATAAAGTAGAA